CTCGTATGAGAGAGATATATTAGTTTTCCAACTAGATTCTAATATCGCTCCTTGTCAGTTGGTTCTTTGTTTTCTTCTGCTTCCTCCTCTTCTTCTTCACCTTCCTCATTTACCTTAGGCTTCTTCTTCAATTTCTTAACCTTAATAGGAGTTCAACAGCATACATGTCTCCGTCAAGAGATCAAGTATATATTTTCTTTGGGAAACATAGATTCCTCTTCTTGACTTGACAACTTCCATCCCAAGGAAGTATTTTAACGACCCAAGATCCTTGACCTTAAATTCCTTACTAAGGGCAACCTTCACTCTCTCTATCTCCTCAAGGTAGTCTTCAGTGAGTATCATGTCATTGACATAGATAATAAGCATACATTTCTTTCTTCCTTCAACCTTAATAAACATTGTATGATTTGACAAGGCTTGCTTGTAACCTTCAATCTCTAGGATTCTTGAGAACTTGTTAAACCAAGCTCTTGGTGACTGTTTCAAGCCATATATATATTTTTTCAATTTACAAACTTGATTGTCCCTATATTTATAAAACTTGGGAGGTAGAATCATATAGACTTCTTCCTTCAACTCACCATTCAAGAAAGCATTTTTTATGTCAAGATGATAAAGGGGCTACTCAAGGTTAGCTGCTACAGATAATAAGACTTTGATAGTATTTAATTTTGCTACCAAAGCAAAAGTTTCTTTGTAGTCTAGACCATATGTCTGAGTAAACCACCTTACAACTAAGCCTACTTTTAACTTGTCAAAGGCACCACCAATCTTGTATTTTGGGGTCAATAGCCACTTATAACTCACTATTTTCTTTCCTTTAGGTAACCAAACAAGTTCCCATATCCCATTCTTTTCTAGGTCCCTCATCTCTTCCATGATAGCACTTTGCCATTCTTAGATGCTTAAAGCCTCTTGTATAGTTTTAGGTCCTTTTACCTTACCAATATTAGTAATAAAAGCTCGATATTGAGGAGAAAGTACTTTGTATGAAACAAACCTCTCTATTAGGTGAAAAATACATGAGCGAGGTTGCTTCCTCAAAGTAATAGGAAGATCAAGATCAATAGATTCACTTACTTTTTCTGTACCATCTAACTCTAGGGTTCTAGGAATTACCCTAACTTTCATGTCACCATAAGTTTCTGCTTCAGGAACTACCTCTGGTTTAGACTCTCTTGGTACTTCAGGCACAAATTACTTATTGTCTTTTAATTTCTTTTTTAAGTGTAAATAGACAACTCTCCCTTTTGTGATTTTTCTACATCTTCTCCTGCCTGCATGTGTTCTTCATGTTGTGACCTAGGAGGAGATGGTGGTGTTGTTATGGTAGGTCAAAGTAATAGTTCAGGGTTTGGCGGTGGTAATAATGACTCATTTGGTGTAAATCATGGCTCAAGAAGTACCAATTCTTTATTAAGTTCTTGTCTCCAAGTTTGAGATTCACCTACATTCTCCCCCTGAATCAAAGGATTAAAATTGAAAGGTGTATCTTCATGAAAGGTGACATCAAGACTAATAAATGTGTGTTTTGAGACAGGATCAAAGCATCAGTATCCTTTCTGAGTAGCAAAATAGCCAAGAAAGATACATTTGGTAGCTCGAGGGTCAAGTTTAGTGTTTTGATGGTTATGGACAAAGGCTATGCAACCAAACACACAAAGTGAAAGATTAGTTTCAATATGAGATGTGAAAAAAACACTTTGTAATTTGTGAAGAGGGTTTTCAAAGGATAGGATTTGACTAGGCTTACAATTGATTAGTTAGGTTACAGTCAAAATGGCATCCCCCTAATAACACCTGGCCACATTACAAGTAAACCTGAAGGTTTTAACAACATCAAGGATGTGACAATTTTTCCTTTTAGAAACCCTATTTGTTGGGGTGTGTGGGCACAAGAACTAGTATGAACAATACCATACATCTAGAAGAAAGTACTCAATGATTGGTTAAGGTACTCAGTGTATTGTCAGAGTGTGAAACTTAGATGGTGGTGTTGAATTGAGTTTTGATCATGTTGAAAAAAGTCATGAATCTGGATGCAGCTTTTGGCTCGTTTCTTAAAAGATAAACCCAACAAACATGAGTGTGGTCATCAATGAAGGAAATACCATGTTGTTTTAGTATGATTAGGAATATGAGATGGTCCCCACAAGTCACTATAAATTGTTGTGAATGGTTTTGTGGTTGTGTAGGGGACTCTAGGAAAGAAAGATCTATAGTGTTTAGCAAGTTAACACACTTCACACTGAAGATCATTAACATTCATATTTGGGCATAAAGTTAGAAATAAATGCTGAAGGTAAAGAAAATTAAGGTGACCCATCCTCTTATGCCACAACATAAAATTATTAACTTTAGAAGTAGATGCAAAGTTACCAACAATTAGTGAGTTAACCACTCGAGTAGTGACTTCAAAATAGTAAAGCCCTTCATAGTCCTTAGCACTTCTGATTGTCACTTGAGATTATAGGTCCTGAAACACACAATGGGAAGGGAGGAATTTAGCATAACAATATGACTGCTTGGTCAACTAACTAATGGAAAGTAAATTACAATCAAGTTTAGCAATATGGAGAATAGATTCCAACATTATTGAATCAAAAATACGAATACTCCCTTTTCTTGCTACAGGTGCCAAGGAACTATCTACAACCTTTACTTTAACATTCCTAGCACACGGGGTGTAAGTGAAAAATAACTCATGACAATTAGTCATATGGTCAAAGGCTCTAAAATCAACAATCCATAGAGTTGTATTATGTGTGGTTGTTAAGGCTTGAAGGAAGGTACCCTTTTTAGCCACTAACACAGAAGACACAGACTCTGATATGTACCCATGATGATAGCATTAATTGGAGACCAAAGTACCCTCTGTATGTCAAAAAGTAGAGACACATAGAAGGTAAAGTTGAGAGCCACCACAAACATTACTCTGGAATTAGCAAAGGTGAACCAAGGGTTATGACAGTTATTGAGAAATAGCCATAATGGCAAAGAACAGCACTGGATGAGATAGCTAAGACTAGAGGACTTTAAAATAAAGCTCATGAGACTTGGGTAATGGGTGGATCTGGCCAAAAACACCAAGTCGAGTGCAACTGAAGGTGTCACCACTTGCCCAAGTTATCCACATGCTTGCACACGTTACTTAGTTGCAACTGTTGCAAAATCTTCAAGTGGCACATGTAGGGTCCACATGCAGCCAATCATCACTAGATTTCTGGGTTTCACTAATCACACTCTAGGGAGTCGTCCAATACCGGCGGTGAGAGTCAAGAAGGCCTCCACCATGATTGACACGTATGACTAGTGTAACAGGTGTATTGCCATGCGACCCAACTACCCAGAAAGCCTAAGAAATTTTTCTAAACCCTACTTACTCTAATACCATATGGAAATTGAGAGAAATATATTTCTTATTTATACTAAAATATGTGTTACAATCAATATATATACACAACGTTGGGAGACAAAGTAATAAATGCTAATAACTCTTAATAATCAACAATAATCTCTAATAAATAGGCTAGAATATTTACAATAAATTTAGATATTCCCACACGTCCTAAACTATGTTCACAATTTATAATATGTTTTTCTCTAACTTGGAAATTGTTCTTTTAAAAAAAAGAAAATTTTTCAAATTTTCTCAATATTCTTTTGGACTCTTACCATGTAATATTTCTAGAGTCTTTGTAGGTATATAATTGATTAGTATGTCGTGTATGGTAATAGGCTACTACATACACACCAATCATGATACTTAGTTAATTTGTTTAAAAATTCATTTTTTCAAGAAATGAAGAAGAGATTTTTTATTATAAATAGATTGAAAAATAATTTCTATGTCATGAGATTTTGGAATCTCCGCAAGTATAAAATAAATTAATTTTGGTGTGAGATTTTTGGAATCTTTATAGGAATTTCAATTGAAGTTTTTTTCAAAAAAAAATTCCTTTCTCAAATAAGGGAATAAGTTTCTTTTATAAATTAAAAGATACAAATCCAATTAAAAACCTATTTTTTAAAAAAAATTTCTTTTCTATATTTTTTTAACAAATTGACACACATTTTTACCCTCGAATTATGTGGGCTTTGAAGGGTATGTAGACCTTAGGGTTTTATCTTAGGTCAAGTCCAACTTATAAATAAATAATTTTTTAATTAATTTGTCTTACTCTTTTATTTTTATTGTTCTTTCTTTATTATGGATAATTAAATTTCATTTAAGGTCATATAAATTTTGTTTAGTTAACTTAGGGCAACTGTTCTTACAAATGGGTGACATATGATGCCTAACACTTTTTCTACATATAACTGACTCCCAAATCTTATTTTGGTTACTATACTCTATTTTATTTTTTTACAAGATTTTTAAAATTATTCTTTTAAAATTTTGGTAATGACTTCTACATTTATTAATTTCGCTTTTTGGAGAGATGACGGTCCGGGCATGACAATTAATCAACAAAATAATCCAAACGCTCCCTTTCTGCGGATAGTTCACGGCCTTGGGAGACAAATCTCACACTAATAGGTAATGGATCAAACTTTTCTTTCTTCATATTTTTCATTACAATTGTCCATAAAATTTATAATCTTTCAATTCAACCCTCCATATATAAGTTGTTATTTTGTTACCACTTTCTTCTCCGGCGTGTTTTTCCTTTTATGTGCACATGGGTAAAGAAAAGGAGGAACCTTAGGCTCCGATTAGAATATATCTCAGTCGAAGCAGTAAGCGTTGAGATATAATTGATCAATAGCATCTTCTAAATCGGCATACATACTGCAGACAACAAAAGTTGTAACATAGAAATTGATCAACGTCATATTTCTACTTAAACAACTTATCTACTTTGCATGTGCTAGGTGTTACTAGCGAAACAGCTGCACTTCTGCTGATATGTATCACTATTTTTTGTTGTACAATCAGATCGTGGAGGCAAAAGGTTGACCAAAATATGGAGGCCTTCATTAGAAATCAAGGAGCTATGGCGGTCACAAGATATAAATTTACAGACATCATGAAAATCACCAATTCTTTTGAAGCGAAATTGGGACAAGGTGGTTACTGTGTTGTATGCAAAGAAAACTGCTCAATGGTTGACCTGTTAGCTGTAAAAATATTGAAGACACCCAAAGGAAATGAGGAAGAATTTATCAATGAGGCTGCCAGCATCGGTAGAACTTCTCACATTAATGTTGTTACCCTTCTTGGGTTTTGTTTGGAAGGCCGAAAGAAGGTTCTTGTATACGAATTTATGTCTAATGGGTCTCTTGACAAATTCATTCACAAGGAAAATGAAACTATACTTCCATCAAATTGCAATCGGGCTGCTCAAGGGCTTAAATACTTGCACGAGGGATGCAGCACTCAAATTGTACATTTGATATAAAGCCACATAACATCCTTTTAGATGAAGACTTTTGTCCCAAGATGTCAGATTTTGGGCTTCCCAAACTTTGTTTCAATTTCAGAAGTCAAGGGAAACTATAGGATATCTAGCCCCAGAAATTTGGAATGGAAATAAATGAGGGGTTTCACATAAACCTGATGATTTACAGTTATGGAATAATGCTACTAGACATGGTTGGATGGCGGAAGAATATGAATGCAAAAGCTAATTGCACAAATGAGATTTATTTTCCAGGTCGTACGAAGTGATTTTGGACATGATATTGCAAAAAAGAAGAAGAAGAAGAAGAAGTGAAAATAAAAGGTATGTGGAGGGTTCATCATGCATTTCCAACTCAAAGACCAACAATTAGTAGAGTGATTGAAATGTTGGAAAGTAGCCTAGACTCTCTTGAAATGCCACCAAAGCCTGCCGTGTCTTCTCCGAGATTAGAGCTAGAGTCTTCCACCACTTCCAATACGACGACATAGCTTTTGGGTCTTGAAGCTCTTCCCAGCTACTGGAGGTGTTGTGCATTAAATGACACTTGGAGTTATGAAATGGTGCTTCTAGAAATGGTGTAAAACAAAAAGCTTTTTAAGCTAAAGCCCTTGCTAGAAGTGAGATATACTTTCCTTCTTGGCATTTTAAATTTTACGTAAGCCTGAGTTGGTCAGTGACTTGGCATTATCATCTGTTGAAAGTTAGTATATGGATTCCTCGCAAATGCGCCCATAGCTCCGTACCTGAATCTTCCTCTGTATTAATTAAGTCTCTCTAAATTCTTTTGCGAGGAACATATAGGTCATGCGTGTAACATGTCAACAATGGCATTATTATTTGAAGTCGCGTTTTAATGATTCTGTCGTTAAATAATTACATTTAGATAGGGAGCGAAAAAGGTGGCTTAAGCTTTCATACGATTGATACAGGGAAAATTAGCATGCTATCTTTCTTTTCTCCCTGTGTAGGTGTGCCTTTAGGATATGATACTTCTAAAGTAAATTTAGTATTTAAAGTATCTCTTACTTATGAAATTCATAATCACATGCTTATCAAAATTTTATCCTTTGATATCATACAATTAGCACTTAAGCAAGGTACAATGTTTTGCTAATTTAACTGGGGCATATACCATATTTAACATTCTGCGTGCAACTAACAGTACAGTAGAATACCTAGAGACTTGAATTAGGAGCTGAATCCTATTTAACGGATTGTAAAGGTAAATTGAATCAGCTGAAAATTTGGGAGCGTAATTTCTGCCTCGCCTTTTTTGTTTTAGTGAAAGGGGGAATTATATTAATAAAGTATTTACATTTTTTGTTTGTTACTCACAGTGTCCTTTTATTGAAAACAATCTTAAAACACCGTCAGACATTAAATATAGACACATCTTCAAGCAAGGACTTGAGCCTTAATTGGTCACATTATGAAAAACCAGCATTTTCTGTAAGAACCAATTTCATTGGTAAAGTATTTACAAATTCAATTACAAAAAAAACCTTTAAAGCAAACAAATTAGACTTCGAGACCAAGGATCTAATCAAGTCACGGGCCTTAACAATGAGACAAACTAAGTCACAGACAGATCTAACCATATCCTGAGGTGAGTGAGACTCATCATTGAAAATTCTGTTACTCCTATTTTCCAAACAGATTAAAATAATAGGAAAATAATAATAATTTAAAACTAATAAAATATAAGATGAAAAATAATAATGTAAAGCTAACTCCCTCAAAGATGAAAATAATAAGCAAGGAAAGCTTTATCTTTCTATATACATGCCCACTCTCAGCTATCCACTCTAGCGATGAAAGAAACTTGAGACAAGGAATAGGTAGACATTAGCTGCTACTTCTGCCATAAATTATGAACAACTTGCGGGGATGAGAGAGAAAGAAAATCACCATTCAACTGCTAGAATTTGAAGTCGTAGACTTGCTTGCCAAATTAGAATCAGATGAAGGTGGAGGCAGATCATTCTTGAGCAACCCAACATCATCAGAAATATCCATCACCTCTGGCTTACTCTTATGCTTCCCATCACTCTCTATATCCCTCAGCGTTTCTAGCACTTCCTCCATTGAAGGCCTCATATCCTTCAAATTCTGCAAACACTGAAACGCCAGCTCCGCCACAGCATTAATCATCTTCCTCACCTTCTGATCTGACTCAAACCCAAGCGTAGGATCCACCAGCTCGTGCAGTGCCCGGTTCTGGATCTTGTTGATTGCCATGGTGGACAGATTGATCTCATGTCGATGCCGCGTAATGTCCACAGCTGGCAAAGATGATATCAGCTCAATCAGCACTACACCGAAACTATACACATCACTTTTGTCAGTGAGCTTATAACACTCATGGTACTCCGGGTCGACATAGCCTGGAGTTCCTTGTGGGGCTGTGGAAACATGAGTGACATGGTCTGGGAAGAGACGGGAGAGTCCAAAGTCTGCAACTTTGACAACAAAATGGTTGTCCAAAAGGATATTGTTGGTTTTCACGTCACGATGGATGATGTCTGAGGCATGAAGGTATGCCAAAGCACTTGCAGTTTCAATGGCTATGTTCATTCTGATATTCCAAGGCAGTGAGCCTGGCTTTGCTCGATCGCCATGAAGATGATCGGCGACTGTTCCATTGGGAATGTACTCATATACGAGGAGGAGCTCACGACTGTGCCGAGAGGTGCAGCCATAGAGGGACACAAGGTTTGTGTGGCGCAAGCGTGTCAGGATCTGAACTTCGTTAATGAATTGCTCTACTCTCTTGTAATTGTTCTCGTACAATCTCTTCACCGCAACACAGCGACCGTCCCGAAGTTTTCCTGGAAAAGATACACCATAAGGAAATTGAGTATTGACAGTACAGAAATGTTAGAATTCCAGAGGGACTAAATTGCAGTATTACCGAAGTATACAGTTCCAAAACCTCCATCTCCAAGTTCTCTGGCTTCATCGAAATTGTTAGTGGCCTCTTCAAGTTCAGTGTATGTGAAGACGGGGACTCCAAAATATTTACTTGCATTAATCTCAGGGTCCACTGTCATGGATGAAACAGAAGAAGTGGCATGTGATTGCATGTATGACTTTGCATAACTGGTCTTCTTTCGACGTTGATAGAAAAAGAAGCCCGTGAGCATGACAATCGCAACGAATGCAGCAGTAACAGCACCTGGGACGCAGAATGGTAATAACTCTCAGTTAATATAATTGTCAAAGAAACTACTATATATAATGAAACATTGAGTTAAGAAACGAAGAAAAAACAGATCTATTACCTACAATGACTTTGTTTTTCAATGAAAATTTCTCTGCAATCATGCACAGAGAAAACAAAGAGGGGTTAGATATTTACTACAATCTGGATATGTAGAAAGAACAAAACAAAGGATATATATATATATATATATATAAAATTTTTCCAATTTAGCCATGGGAAATTAAGACATACAAATGAATTCATTACCATCACCAATAACTTTCGAGAAGAGGATTATCCTTACTGAAGCAGCATAATTCATATTTATCAAAACCACAGCGTCCCAATTTCGACACAGTACTGACAATCAGGTTCCGGTGCAATCCGTTTCAAAATAAACCCCATCTTTAAAATTTCAATGTAATTCATTTATAACAAGTTAGTTGAATTATCATCGCCATTCATGTACACAAGCACATCAGTCACGAACTGGCATGAAAAACTGCTAAACAATGATGGTTAGCATCTCTAACACAAGCTACATCGTAAGTGGGGTAATCTATAAGTTCTGTAGTGCAGTTGTAGGGGGAAAAAAAGACATGTTGGAATTCTCAGAATCGTGGATAAACAGAGATTTGAATAAAGCTGTCATTATACATGGGAGCAGGGCACTTTTCCTCGTACACTTTAGTCCATAAGTTCTGAGGTAGCTTTTGCACGAAAGCTTCTTTATCCTTTAATCGACAAGGTAAAGTTGAAAGATAAAGTGCAATTAAGCGACAAGATATAGATGGGTCGACTTTAATGCACGAAAGCGAGCTAAATAATACATCATCTTGCACATCTGTTTTCCTGAACTTATCAGCACCTTTGTAACCTGTCAACTGTGAACTTGTTGAGGTTTTCTTCCTTCTATCTGATAGGTGGGGCCAGCAAGGAGAAGTTAAGTATCCTTATTGCAAACTAGGTTATCATTATCTTGCAATATAAGTATGAAGACTCCATCAAACGTGATTGTAGTTAGATTATACTAAGAAAAACTATTAGGAGTGATGCTTCCACCATCCTCACAATGAAAAGAACTACTTGGCTATGATTGGCACAATGAAAAGAATTCATGGACGTCTTTCAAGGAATAATAATAAATTATAATAATAAATCATCCAAAATAAACAAACAAATATATATGTATATATATATCAGAAGTAAAAGAAAAGAGGAAATGATGTGTAAGATGAGGAAGGTGTGCTAGACTGGAAACATGGAAATCGATGACTTGCAAGTCAATGCAACTACTTCGTTGACATCGAAAATCTCCAAAATAGCCCCAGGATGAAGTAGTTTCCCAGCCAACAATTATCCTTGTTCAGTTATTTCGACAGGGCGAGTCATTTTTTACTACGTATGATAGACGCCTTTATGATATTTTATTATTGAAAACACTAAGCTCCTCATCGCTTATGAGTGGTTCGCAAAAAGAGTTGCTTAGTCCCCACACACACGGCAACTAGAAATTCAATCACGATGAAATAGAAATTGACTCGTACATTTATCACGAAAATTAGTTCGTAATTTATGGCCCACAATGGACAAAACTTATATCGTGGCAAATGCAGACAACTAATTAATATTCAAACTCAAGTATGAATGGCGAACGAAAAAAGGAGAATGACAATTAAAGACCTTCTAAGAACATTAATCTCAATTATGAATCATAAAATTTTAAAATAATAATTAAGGACCTTAATTGTGATAAAAAAAATATAATTTATGAGATGAGATTCACTAACGCGACTTGAGAATTCATTAACCCAACTTGAGAAAATTACTAACATATATTATAAAACATGAAACCCACTTAGAAATGGAATGTTTAACAAAAAATGTCACTTGGGAATTCACTAACTAGACTTAAAAAAATTTCTAACATATATTGTGAAAGAATGAAACCCTACTTGAGAATCATTAATAAAAAGTGACTTGTCTAAATTGGTGTTTTTTATTAAACAATCGATTCCCAAGTGAAGTTTCATGTTTCCACAATACACGTTAGAAATTTTTTCAATTCGAGTTAGTGAATTTTCAAGTGGTGCTTTTTATTAAATAATTAATTTCTAAATGGGGTTTCATGTTTTCACAATATTACGTTACAAATTTTCTCAAGTTGAATTAGTAAATTCCCAAGTGGCAATAATGAATTCCATTTCACCAACTACATTTTTTTTATCACAATTAAGGACCATGATCCTTAACTGGAATTTCAAAATTTCACAGTCCATAATTAAAATTAATGTTCTTAGAAGGTCCTTAATTGTCATTCTCTCAACAAAAAATGATTAGAAACGTATTAGTATTAAGGAAAAACACACAAAAAAGGGTAGACAGCAAAGAAAAGTCAAATCAATCCTAAGGAAGTAAACAGATTGTAGGCAAAGTTCCTTGACCGGCTGACCCGTTCAAAGGGTAGACCTGAGGAACTCTTTTCAGATGAAGGCACTAATAAGATTTTAGAAAATGGGTTCCAGCAGTGATGTACTTGTCGAATCACCAATTAACAAGAATTCTGAGTTTTGATGGAAACAAACAACTCAATAAGCGTATAATCAAAGCCATGATTATATACGAGTGTGAGCAAGTGTAGCATATATGAATTTAGGAAAGTAATGACTGAAAATGGGAGTAGGAGATGAAGAAGGGCGTACTGGGAGAATGCAAAAGAGAATCAGAACAGTTACGAGCATGAGGTCCGTCCGGGCATTGACAGGCAAATTGATGAGATGTTTCATTCGATCCACATGCTCCTTCTGAAACCATGCATGATTGACAAGACTCCGCCACATTGTACTGCACACTAAACCCTTCACGCAAGGCTGTTTTAAGGTCGTCAATATCACCTTGAGGTTTCAGAGGAGTCTCTTTCGAAACCGGCACTTTAATAATTAGCTTGCAATTGTTAAGACCAGGGAATCGCCGCATCAGATGATCGCCGTCTTCCGAATAAAAAACAAGGGGATTAAGATAAGGATCAGTGTTAGGCAGAGGCTGGGCGCATGTGAAGTTGCTGCCAATCGAAATGTCTTGGGGGCAGTGGTAGAATAGGGTGACGTTCTTGAGATTTGCCTCGGAAATAACGAGATTAAAGAGCTTGGTACTCAAGGAGGTGTTTTTAGAAACTGGATGACAAGGATCCTGAGCAAGGTCTTTTCGCACCAGCGTCATGACGTAAGCAGATAGGTTAACCCGTGCAACATTGAAAGTCAGTGAATCGATTTCAATGGAAGGTTGTTCTTCATCTCTTGGCGGACACATGAGATGGAACCCGTCGCTGCCACAAAAAGCGGGTCTAAGAATGTCCTCAGACCAGAAAGGGTAACCAATTTCTGGCAGTGATCCACAATGGCCAGGGGAAAGGCAGACTTCGAATGGCAGAGAGTGGGACAATGGGAAAGAGGAAAGGAAGAAGAAGGAGGAGGAGAGCAACAGCGTCCAGGCTTCCATTGTTAACTCCCTGTGGCTTATGCTTCCGTGCTTGCTTGGCTATCTTCAGCTTTGTCATTCACAGCTTTTGGGTTCAGGCAGACTTTTGACTTGACAATGGGAGGCACGCATCGTCTCATCATTCATTCTTGATTTTTCAGGAATAAGCATCTCAATCCTAAAACTCTCTCCCCCTTTCTTCCACACCTGACGATAAATGAAAGTGGGTATTGACTATTCAATGTGTCTTCCAGATGGCCCCAAACTGCTCAATCAGGAAACAACCACTCGCTTTCCTCCCCCTCCGCCCCCCCAAAAAAAAAACCTCCATTTTCAAACTATTTTTAAAAGGAAAAATGACAATTAATAACCTTCTAAAGTTATTGATTTCTAAAGACTATAAAAATATTAAAATTCCAAAATTCCAGTTAAGTACGAAAGTGCTTAATTGGAATTAACACTAAAATATATATAACATTAGCAAAATTATTATTATGATATAAAAATATTGTCAATGTCAATTGAAAAAATAAAAACCATACTTTGAAATAAATTATTTTTTAATATAAAAAAATTCACTTTTAAAATATTTTAAAGCCATTTATAAATATATAAAAATGACTTGTGAAGTTTCTAACTTCACTCAGAAATATAAACTCAATTATTTGTTAAATTTCACACTTATTTATATATAATTATCACTAAAAAATAAAGAGACGACACTGTTAAAATCATTATTGTGACATGAAAATATTGTTAATATCAGTTGAAAAATAGGAAACTACGCTTAAAAATATATTATTTTTTAATATGAAAGAAACTCATTTTTAAAACATTTCAAAGTTACTTATGAATATATAAAAGTGATTTGAAAATTTACTAATTTTACTTAGTGTTTTTTTTTTTCAAGGGGCATTTAAGGTAATTCATATGTTTTTAAATTTCAAGTATGGATCATGATCCTTAATTGAGATTTAAATATTTTATAATCTTCAATTGACATTAATGACCTTAAAGGGTCCTTTAGTGTCATTTTCCCTTCTCAAAATGGCCCTGCTTATTAATTTTAATTACTCCGGGTAACAAAAAATCTATTTACTGAAATCATACCACTACTGTCTTACAAATTATGTATCCCAACACTAACTTAAGGAGTCATTGATTAAGTATAATCACATCGTGGAAAATTCCCAGTCGCACATGAACATTAAGAATTGACTTTTGTAACGTGTGATTTAAGATTTCTATTTTTCCTATTGCAAGCTCTCTCCGTTTACCCGTTAAAAGGTTTACAATGTTGATTATATACACTATTCTGGTACAAAATATGATAACTATCGGTACATTCAAATTGGCCATGGCTTCTCCATACTTTATTGTTCCTTTATTTTTTTATTTTTTATTTTTATTTTTTCCTTAACTATAGGTTTAAATTGTAAGAGTACATTTAGACGGCTCATATTTAGCATTTTATTAAAACATTATTATCAAAATATTAAAATCTAAAGAGTAAGTAAGTAGATCAATAGTGTTAACATTTTATTTGAACAGTTCAGAACTTTTATAGAGAGAAGTAGGATTAGTGGTAAATCAAAACCAAACTGGCAACTTGGCTTGGTACTTCAGCAGACCTATTAGAGGAGGCAGGAGCAACAGGGTTACCAAGCTTTTGGTTGACTTCACCAAACCATCATGGATGGGGAATATCTATTTAATTAACAACATACAATCAAGCCGGTGGCCTTGTGCCACAATGGCACTAGCACTCCTCCTGTTGCCAGGAGGACGTACGTTCGAGTCCAGAGTGAAAATTTGTGGAAGGTGCATGAGTTTCCTTTTCCATAAGGGCGGGTGAGTGGATATTATTGGGTGTTAAACCCATATAAAAAAAGAAAAAAAAACAACTTATAATCATGTCAAGAGTTTTCAACTATCTAATGTTCCTAATGAACAAGCTGAAGGCTTAATTAACAAGGTGACAGTAAACTAAGTGAAACAAAATTCACAAAAATCTAAATTACTGAAAATGAATCAGGAGTGCATTAAAGCCTCCTTAGCGACATCCCCTGCTTTTTTTAAATGGGAGTACTCTAAAATCTATGCTTCTCTACTGGAAATTAGCAAGGAGTTTTCCTCATTGATATCGAAACCAGTACGGTGTAACAAATCAGAAAGGTTATGACAAGAACAGAACACTGGTCTGCATGTTGCAGATCAATTGAAGGACCTTATAGAAGGAATTGGACAGGGAAAGAAGCCATACTTGCAAGAGTAGGACATGCCGAGTCATGAGGTCCGTCTCGACAACAACATGAAAATTAAGACCTATCATCCTTCATCCCACAAGCTCCTCCAGATTCCATGCATTTGTTTGCAGTGACCCTCTTCCGCAATATGCTGCACACCAAACCCTCTATCCAAAGCAGCCTTCAGCGATTCAATTCCACCAAAACGGTCCACAGTGACACCCATGTAATCGGCACTTGAAGTTGAATTCCACAGTGATGAACAAGTTCTGGGAATTGAGGCCATATAAATTGATCAAAAAAGAAAGCCTGTTTTTCCTCCGTTATCCCTGCACGTGATGTTGTTCTGGCCAATGGACAACCCAGGGTCATGTTCACAACACTTGGGTCGAAGGAGAACAGAGTGGGGTCCAATGAAGTGTTGGTGAAATGGAAAGAAACGAGAGGGATCGAAATCTATCAAGGTGAAGTTTTGACAGCCGACTTGAATAGAAGCAATGTCAGGGGACAAGCACGTACGATACCTCGAAACCATCTCTCCCACAGTAATGAGGTCGGTTTCCTCCCCAGAAAGGGTACGATATTACCAAGTTTCCACAGTTGTAGGTGCGGCTGCATGCTATCTATTTGTGATAACCTTTTTGACTCACAGTGTGGCAGAGTCGTTGTTAACAACAAGAGATAGAAGGAGGAGGGGGAGGGGGAGGAGTTGCGGAGTGTGTACGGAAGCATGTGAGCATGGGGATTCATTGTGTTAGAGAATAGTAAGTGTCAAGTGGAGTCTTCACGACCACCTATTGTGAGAGTCAGACGAAAAAACAGAGGAAGAGAAGAAATGGGAGTTTCTATTTTTCTATTTCCAATGCTAATGTAACGTTGTGACTTATTAAGTTCTTTCACAACATATTTCAGTTTTTCTTTATTGTACTTTACTACTAAGCCTCAATTTTACATCAGAATCATCGCCCTAATGCGGCATTCATAGCAAGAGACAAAGAAGCTTTGTTTTCAATTCAGGCTTGTGTGCCAAACGGCAACCAGAGCTAAAAAGAAGGAAGTCTTCAATATATTATTACATTTACACTTAAGTGAAGGCAGGATGCTTAATAATTGTATAAAAATATAGCTAAAACAAATGCCTAAAGCATATATTTACTACCAAAAAATCTCCAATCCCCTCATATTCATAGATGTGAGATTTAAAAAAATATTATTCTATTAACAAGCGCATGATTCAACTGGTAAGAAAGTTATATATTTTTAATCAAAGGTTTCAAATTGAAGTTTTAAGAATGTGTAAGTATTTAATGGTAAAGCGTTCACCTTGGGAGGGAGATCTTGACTTGACTTGTCTTCAGACACCCAATAATTTACTAAGAAATGCATTATTCTAACAATTATTTCCCTGTCCATATTTCGTGCTTCTATCATCAAAAATCTTTTGTTTTTTATTTTGTTAATTAGACTGGCGTTAAACTATCCTACTAAATAAAACATGTAATCTCCCTATACTTACGGAGCATCTTTGTCACTTGGACAATGTGCTTTGCATTATCATCAAACTGTTAAATGTTTCCTTTTTATGTTGATTGAAGACTTCAAAACTATTTACTCAAACCATGTTATCCATTATCAGGGTTATTTTATGTTAAATTTTTATTGCTAACCTAATGGAAACTCATGAATAAGAACAGTTCTTGAATTATGTAATTTGCTATTTCAGTTTTTTTGTTTTTTGCCAACTCCTATCTGAATTTAATTGCTTCCAGTATGGTACACTTATTTGACATTCTTAAGAAATCAAATATCCCAATTAAGTAATGGATACTTGGCATTCTTGTATAGCATCTTAATGTCTATTTTTACATCCTAAATAATTTAATTAACTTGTAAGATCAATATACCACCAGCCACTCAGGACACTCTGACCTGTACGTCACGATACTAAATCCAAACCCATCCTAATATAACACAAGCAATATTATTATAACACCACCACAAAGATTTCATGTTCTTTTTTATTTCTTTTTCCTTAAAGTCCTATTCTGCATATTACAATATGCTAAACCAACCAGTTCAATTAATCTATGAAGGGGGAAAGCTACCCAACCTGCTTAAGAAAATCAAACATTACCGTCCGAAACAACTTAGGATCATCAGATTGTGGAACAGCACAAGAGTATCTAACTTAAAACTAGAAGCTGGGAAGAAGGAAACATACTCTGTGGTGGTGCAGCTGGTTCTTGAGGATAAGGCTCTGGTTGCAGCAAGGGTGCTTGTGTTGGTGTTCCTGATAATAGGTCAGACACACAAACCCCATAATTACTTTGATTGGGACAGAAACATGTAAACTCTTCCAAACTTATGTTGTACCCACATCTTCCACCTGAAATTTTGCAATTATTACACAGCCCTCCTTCTGTCGGTTCCCATTCAACCTCAAAACCTTGATCTATCACATCACCAGGATCTATGGCTTCCTCCATGAAACTCTTCACTGCCACCCCCAGAACAGGCACTATAATACTAACTCTGCATCCCAGAGCACTCCAATTAAACCATTTCTCGCTGATCAGCAAAAAATATGCTTCGATGGGATAACCTTTTGCGGGGCAATCAAATTCCAAAGAAGTTGACAGATTCACAGGAGGAGGCGTATATACTAAAGGGTCGCAGTTATATAACATGGTGGAATTTACATCATTGGAAGTGTAGTTAAACACAGCATAATCCAGCGTGAAGTTGTTGAATTCATTGGGACATTTGGTGCCCCACAAATCCATTCTTGCTATTGTGAGAGTTCTTGTGGTTGAATTTACATCGATGACACGAAAATCCTGGGAAGCCATGTTGATAGTAGCATTGTCCCCTTGACAATTCAGCTTGAACTTTGGATGCCCACAATACTCCGGCCGTGAATCGAACCAGAATGGGTAACTCAGGTCGGTGATGTTTCCACAGGTAAACGGCTCGCAGGCTGAGAAGGGCTCATCAGCAATGGCGAAATATGGTGGGAGGAAGAGAGCGAAGAAGAGAAATACAGAGGGAGAACCCATGTACGGTTCGATTGCGAAGAAGGCCAGTATTCGGAATGACTAATATCCAACGACAACCCATGGAATATAAAGCAAAAGTCAAACTGAAAATCCTTCAGGTAATGAGGCTAATGGCTTACTCTAACATGGGTTTGACAACTTGAAGGGCGCATGAATTGGTGACATTTCAGATATTAGCTCTCCACCAACTGATTTGGATTAATACGAATATTATTGAGTAGAAAATGTTGAACCTAAGACTATTCCGCAAGACTAGAGTTTTATATAACCTTTTGGGGTATATGACCAAATGAAGAAAGCGCAAGGTGAGTTAAAGACACAAGCTTAGTATGGAAGAAATCAAAGGCCCTCTCTCCTGTTAATTATTTCTTCCAATCCTATTGATAAATTTATAAAACGGAAAAATATTTTTTTTCTATTTATAACTTGTATTATTATTTTTTATCATGAGTTTTGAAGTTTACTTCCCATTAAATATTAATGAAAGAAAGTGTATTATTAAAGTATGTGTATTTAATAAAAAATTATTAAAATTTTAAATAAAATTAATGAATTTAATTTTTTTAATTTTAATAAAATATGCTAAAAGTAGTTTATAAATAATTCCTCAACATACTATTTTCCATCTAATACTACTTCAATCTTAGATATTAAACAAGATGGTTATATACAGCCTATTCCATCAAATGACAAATGTCAATTCAAGAGGTTGACGAAGTATATGTATTCCTCTCTTATTGGTCATATGGTCAAAAGTCAAGGCCTCTTATAGATTTTTTTTATTTATTTCAAAAATATAAATATGAAACTTGTTCATTAATCGATTTGAAAAATACTAAAATATGGTTGTTTTCTCACCAAAGATTGTTTTTCGTTTATACATCCCAAATTTTTTTTTATTGTCAAACAGGGGTTTTTGGGCTTCTGAGGAGGGTTCTAAATTGGGCTTTATGTTGGTGGCTCAACATTTTGGGCTTCACTTGTTTTCGGCTTAGTAGTTGGCTTCACATATCAGCCGGAACCTTTACTTTTATGAAATTAAATTTTTTATTATTATTCCATCCCTAGGTATTCTCAAAACAAAACAAAAAAAATATTGCCACCAAATATTCAAACTAATTTAAAACCTTGTTGTGTGAGAATGTTATAATCAACAATGGACTTACACGTATTTTAAGAATGACTTTATTATTTTTATTTTACATGATTACATATTTTGATATTCAAGCTCAAGATTTTAAGATAAATTAATTTAACTCTCTCAATCAATTGAACTAAGTATCTCTCAAACTTGGTTATGAAATGAAATCTTATTCTTCCAAATAATTAGCAAAGAAATAATTAAGTAGGTTATAATATTTCTTATATTGTTTTAGGAAATCAAGAACAATGGGCATAGCACTATGTAATTGATATGAAACTTAATCTATGGGCAATGGAATTACAAGAGGAAGATATTTAGAGAACAGAGGAAATAAACAAGTTCCTATTAAAATATTGAAAGAATGAGCAAATTGGATACTTATTAAAGATGATGTTTAGCTCATGATTATCTTTATCTTTTAAATAGTTGTAAACCTACTCAAAGTTGAGGTTAGACATATTGTTTAAAAAAAAAAAAATCATTTGACACACATTCAATATCTAAGGTACTTGAGAGTTTTCAGTTTTGTTACATCCACGCATGTTGAAAGTGCATAACAGATTTACCAACTTATGTACAATTTCTTCCAGCCAATAAATTTCTCTAGCATGAGTCCAAGCAATACTAGAGAACAAGGCCTCAATATTCTACGTATTGTATTCTGCGTATAAAATTTGCAGGAGAGCTTCCATGTATAATCGTAGACTCCATGTGAAGCATTCTAGCCCGCAATTTAATTTCCTTATGACGAAAAGCTACAAAATGGTTCTACTTAGAACCTCTTTGTGTTCAATACCAGCAAATCCAACGTATTTCCCAGAAGCAACTCATTGAGAAAGGAGAAACTCAGTTTCAACTTCCTATATATATTTCAATTCATCATCTACATAACTACTACAACATTTTCCACAGAAAAAAGTGTGTCAATTTATCTTTCATTCCATGCAAATACAAATGGCAGCTGATTCCATATCCTTTCATGATTCATGTATGCAACAAAAATGATCATTCAAACAAAAAATAATGCTATTCAACTGTCCAAGCTCCCCATAAACTCTTACCCACATACAGTCACAAAACAACATGGTATAATGTGCTTACCAGATCTAAAATTTAAGCCTTCACTTACACACACGCGCACACACATTAGAAAGAGACCAAGAGAAAGAGATTGAGTTGCGGATTAATTATGAGAAAGCGAAGGTACCTTTGTTGCAGCTTTTGGTAGCGATACTGCCATCTTTGCAAAAGCACAGCCTCTGCTGGGTGGTTCGGTTGAAGCCACAATATCCTCCAGAATTCTCACACACCATGCAATCTCTAGCTTTTCCCCAATCAAGCACAAACCCTTGGTTCATGGCCCCACCAAACCCAGTTACCAAGTCCATGCTTCTGATCTCTTCCTCCTTCACCACCACCACCACCTTCTCTGTACAATCTATATTCCACTCATAACCGTCCGTCTCACTCCCCGTCTCAAACACATATGACTGCTTCGATCCTTCATTTTTCAAACACCCTATGGTGTTGGTGGCAGGGATGTTATAATTATTATTAGAAACACTGCAGTTGAAGTAGAAACTGAGGTTCAAATCCAAATGATTAATACTCAGAGGGGTGTTTTCTAGGCTAACATTCTGGCGTGCTCTGGGGCAGGATTGGTTCACCACATCCGTGTCAACAAGCGTGAGTGTGGAAAGGTAGTAATTTATATCTGTGACATAGTATGTGTCGCTTGGAAGAGTGATAACGGGTGGTCCATCATCGGAGCATTTGAGACCAAAATCAGGGTAACCACAGTATTCTTGGGCGGAAGTGTTGTCCAGCCAGAAAGGATAGTGAACGGAAACATTGCCGCAAGCAGGAGGAGAGGAACATACAGAAGAATATGCATCGGCAATACGGTGCCTGAGGCACAAGAAGGAGAGAGCAGCAATGATGTACATGGGTTTTGACATGATGATATTGATATATCAGAAGCCGTGTTTAAAAAAATTATGAGAAGATGGTTTAATATTTATAGACAAAGCAAGAGGAAAAGAAAGAGGACCGTGTGATAATGTGAAAAGAATCTATATGCTCTAAGATAGAGATAAAAAGGTCGAGGATGATCATTTGACCGGAGGAATAAAATAAACTACAGCTTTCTATGAATACTTTAGGAAATTTCTGTGTGCATGACTTTAGACAAAACATGGTTGAATAAGCTCATACTTAGAAGCTGACAAGTTGGTAAGAGTAATTAAGACTGAAGACCCGGGGTCCATCTGAAAGTTGAACGATAAATTTCTTGAAGATGATGAGATGGCTACTAGGGAGACAAGAATCAAAGGAGAAATAATAAGAAAATAGGAGGTTGAAGAATAAAATAAGGGAAAACGCGTGGGTGACACGTTCCTGTGCTTGTAAAAAATGGCTCTTCAAGGATATGATTAAGCAATTTGAAAGAGATTAGGTGAATTTAGACAAGTGGGAAGTGACTATAAAATGGAAAGCACATGTTGGGCAGTGGAAAACACAGGATGTGCTCAAAAGAAGTACAAAGTAGTGTGCCCAGCTGTGTGAGGAGAGAGTTATTACGATTGATGATAGATTCAAACTGAAAAACTTGAAATGTTATTATTATTAATTCAATCCATCGATATCTGTGGGTCGGGGACACTCGGTGTCCTGCATAATAATATCCAAGACATCAATTTTATATATACTTCCTGAGTAAATAATATGGTTTTTTTAAAAATTTTCTTAATTAGAAGTGTAATCAATAAAATTTTCTAGTTGTCACATTCTTTTTTTTGGTCAATTTTAGTTGAGACATTAAACATAAAAAAATAACATTTATATATTAACTAACTAATAAAATACATAAATTAATTAAAAATATCTTATAATACTGGAAGAAAGTGTGCGTATTGATCTACCGGCAATGAGTTTCAAATAAATAAAAAAATACTATGTCCATTCAGAATTACAGTGAAATATTTTTAACTAATTTACATATTCTAATAAGTCAATTAACGATATTTAAAATTGTATATTTGTTTTGTATTTATTTTTATTTAATAGAGTGTATTGATTAAAAAATATTATTAATTAGAGATCTAAAATATCTCACATTTTTATATAAAATATATAAAAATGTTTTATTATAAAAGCAAGACTACTTGAAATAGGAGGCGGCGAATCTAATCTGTAGACTTGTAATACCATATAAGGTTCATGAAAAATTCTTACCTACACCCAATACACAACTTCACCATACTCTATATAATAAAATTTTATTAATTTAATTAAATAACATAAAAAAATATAATTATTGATCCCTATAAATTCACCAAGTTTTATTTTTAATCATTGTTGCTTACAGTATTTTTAGTCCCTATAATATTAACAAGATTAGGGAAACATTTGTTTCTTATGAACTATAAGAGTTGAAAATAGTGAAAATAAATTACAAGAATTAAAAACAAAACTTGATAAAACTATAAGCTAATGATTGTGTTTTTCAATAAAATTTTATGTGTCTTTTATATAGATTTTAAAATTATCAACAATCAAGTGATTAACAATATCTATCTAATTAACTAACTAATATTCCAACATTATGACTAATATGATTGATTTCTCAATTATTATGACACTAACAAATGTCTAATTTATCATTAAATTCAAAGAATATTCTTTCTAGTCAATTCTATGATACTCCCAAACACTTGCTGTCACTGTTCCTTTGTAACAACACTTCGTAAGATACAAAATTTAGTTGCAGGGCCGCACGGCAGAGCCTATCTAGACAAAGACAAACACGTGTGGTGTGCAACTTACCTCGAAGCAAAAGTGAACCAAAAAATATTTATATATGAAGTGCTTGTTTAATTATTGCATTTTTTATAATAATTAAACATACAGGGCAAGGCCCAGATTAGTAGCCCATGGCCCAAACCAAATTGGCCCAAAAAGGAATAATTGTGCAAGTTCGAACTGACGTTCTGTTTTGTGTATCTGAACAAGGGCCTAGGCCCATATAAATAACCCAAAACGAAATGAAAGTTTCACTGCTTTGGGCTTTACTCTTGGATTTTTTTTTAAAATTCTGTTTCCATCTCTCTAAACGGTCTTAAAAGGTCCGACTTTCGCATGCCCAATAGATACAGGCGAGGAAATCATTCTAATCCTCTTTGAATAACATAATAAAGAATTTATTTTTTTATTATTAACCAATATTTGAATGATTGTGTTACGGTTTTAAAAATAAGAAATTAAGAGTTTTATTTCATGTGCGAAATTATTTTATTTTATTTTTCT